GAGTCTAACTATTTCTTATGAATTAGAAGTTTTATTTAGAAAGTGTTAATTATGGTGAAATTCAGAATATTTACAATACATTTACAGAATGTGTTGTCTGTGAATAAGATAAATACTCTCTCGATATACAATAATGTTATTCATGTCTTTCTGGAGCAAAATGCCAAAATGGAATTATATATGTAAATTAAGGATTCTGGAGAAAAGATGAAAGTAGTCCACTTGTTATAGAATGTGTAAATAAGCCTTCAAACTGTATTGGAAATACTTATGGCAATTAAGTATGCTTAGAAGGTTACATAGGACCTCTATGTGAAGAATGTGATGTAAATACAATTTTTTAAATATTACTTTAACAATAAATTTAAAATTAATAAGATTCATGGAAGCTATTGGGGAGAGAGCTATTCTAAAATTGGAACTTATTAATGTGGGTAATGTAAAGAAGTGAGTGCTTTATTGTGGAAAGCAATCTTAATAGTAATCTGGACTTTATTTTCAATTCGACTTGCCATAAAAGGAGACTTAGAGGAATAAACAATAAATGCTTTTTAAGTAGCTCTGAAAAGACACTTATTAAAGAATAATCAAAGCACTTCCTTAAATGAGACTAAATATTAATCTAAATTAAATGTCAAATATGATAACCATAAAGGATTAAAAATCTCGAAATGGAGAAAAAGCTAGTGTTTATATTAAAGTATTATTAACTATTTACAAATAATAGGATCAATTATTACTTTCAATATAAAATTAACTACAGGTAAAAAAAATTAAAATTTTTTAATTTTAAAATTATTAATTTATCAATCAAGATTGTTTATTTATTTATATAAACTAAATTTTTTAAGATGAAAATAATATTTAAAATTTTATCAAACAAACAAAGATATATTTGATACTTCATAGTATTTAGGAACACCTGTAAGATAATAAATGAATTCTGCTGAATGTATATTAAAAGATATATAAACAGATATACCAATGATATATCTTAAACTACTATTTACTCTAAT